GACAAAGAAAGTGAAGGAGAGAAGACCATGGAGAGAGGTTTATGACACAAAGCCATTGTTGCTAATTCAAATTGTTAACTATTGTGAGAAAGGAGCAGAGACTATACTTCAGAAAATGTTCAGCAGAAGAAATTTTGTTGCTTAACTGGTAATTTTAAATATTTTCTGATGCAGCCACATTCCTATGTCTAAGACATATGCCTGTGACATATGTATGTTTCTTCCTTTATTTAAAGTATAATAAATTACTTTAATTAGATATTCCTTTTTGTTTCTATTATGTAACCTTCTCCTGGGCAGTAGGCACCATATGATTTTTACTTAGTCGGAGCTATTTTGCTTCCTAATTTTTATTTACAGTTTTTATTCTGTCCAAAATATCACATATTTTTGCTAAAATCATTACAATCCTCCCTGAAGGGGTAGGACTGGGTGAGATCAGCTGCAAACAATAAGAATAATGAGGAAGAACAAGAGGAAAAATATCAAGAGAAGCAGTCAGATAGATAGATACTCAACTACTCACAGTCAACATTTACTAAGCATATATACACATACACTCAATCCTCAGACAACCCAAAAACATGTTTGTTTTACAAGCATATACTCAATCCTCAGAACAGCATTAAAACATGTTTATTTTACATGTGGAAAATAAGCTCAAATGAGTTCTGGCAACTTGAACAAAGACAAACATATGAAAGACAGTGGTGCTCCTATGAAAGCCAGGGCCAATCAATCAAGTCTTATTTTCCAAACCACTTTAGTATACTACCCTTGGTACATACCAAATACACTCTTACAAGGATTAAAAGTAAAGCAGGGGCCGGGCGTGGTGGCTCAAGCCTGTAATCCCAGCACTTTGGGAGGCCGAGGCGGGTGGATCATGAGGTCAAGAGATCGAGACCATCCTGGTCAACATGGTGAAACCCCGTCTCTACTAAAAATACAAAAAATTAGCTGGGCATGGTGGCGCGTACCTGTAATCCCAGCTACTCGGGAGGCTGAGGCAGGAGAATTGCCTGAACCCAGGAGGCGGAGGTTGCGGTGAGCCGAGATCGTGCCATTGCACTCTAGCCTGGGTAACAAGAGCGAAACTCCGTCTCAAAAAAAAAAAAAAAAAAAAAAAGTAAAGCAGGCCAAGTGTGGTGGCTCACACCTGTAGTCCCAGCTACTCTGGAGGCTGAGGTGGGATGATAACTTGAGTCCAGGAGCTGGAGGCTGCAGTGAGCTATGATCATGCCACTACGCTCCAGCTGGGTGACACAGTGAGACCGTCTTAAAAAATAATAAATAAAAAAGTAAAAATAAAAGACAATCTGTGCTCCTCTCAGCAGAATAGGAGCTCCCTGTTCTCATCTCAGCCCCCTTTCCTAACAGTAATCAAAATTTTATGAGATAAATGCAATTTTTGTTAAGTTCCCTAATCTGGTATTTTCTATTCTATTTTTTTCTTCTTCAGTACCTTTGTAAGAGAAGTAGAAAAAAAGTTCCTCTGGGTTGTAAAGGATTTAACAAGATACACCATTTAAAGTTTTGACTATTGCAGCTCCCATGATACTCTGATACAAATTTGGCCAAACCATGCTTTAAAAACTCTGTGTGTCCACAGGAGACAGTATAAGTGAATGTCTCCTAGCCAAACTATCAACTCCTGAAGCATGGTACTGCATGTCGGAACACAACCATAGAAATACATGCATGACAGAGCAGTTAAGAGCTTGAGAACTGTGTTTGAAATTCACCTCCAACTCTTAACTGATTTTTGGACTTTGTTCCTAATTAATGATTCTAAAAACTTAGTTTCATTATCCATAAAATAGGGATAATACTTACAATCCCTTGTGAGGATTACTAAAAGAAATGTACATAAATTGCTTAGCACAGAGTTTGACAAAGAGGGAGCACTCTATTAATATTATTATTATTGATTTGGCTCAAGTCTAATTTTCTTTCTTAAATTCCTTACACCTTTCTGTTTTTAGAACAACTCATATAATCAGGGGAAAAAATGTGATCAGTGAAGACAAATAATCCACTTAAAGCATTACATAATTTATAAGTGCTGATGTCATAAAATATACTTTGCATTAATTTCATCTAAAATTCAGTTTTATTATATAGATCAAACATGGTTTAAACAGATGTTAACTGTTCCTTTTTTGGAATTAGAGTGAAGAATATAAAAAAGGAAAGGTACAGAAAAATAAAAACTTTCTTAGACATTTACTTCTAGAACTCAAATTTAATCCCAGGAAGTGACAAGATAGAATTCAACTCGTTTTGCTGAAGGCAACTAGATATTTTGCTCCTTAAAAGCATGGATTGTGGCAATCATCTTAGCATCCTAATCACCAAGCACTGTTCCTAGGAAAGAGTGGGCCCTCAAACATTTGTCAAAAGCATGGAAGAGTGGGTGGAAAGAAGGGAGGGAGAGAAGGAGGGAGGAACGGATGGATGAATGGATGGATGGATGAACAGACGGATGGACGGAAGGACAGATGAATTAATCAACCTTATGTTGCCAGTTTGTATCAGTTATTTATTGCTGTGTAACAACTAACCCCAATCTTATTGACTTCAAACAATAAGCATTTATTATCTGACAGTTTCTGTGGGTCAGGAATCCAAGTGTGGCCTAGCTGGTTGGTTCTGGCTCAAGATCTCTCACACGTTTGTGAAGTGTTAGTGGGTCTGCAGTCATGAACAGCTTGACTAGTCCAGAGTATACTCTTCCAGGCTCACTCACATGGTTGTCAGCAGGACGCTTCAGTTCCTCACTGTGTGCACCTGTTCACAGCATTGCTCGCAGCATAACTTCCCCCAGACCAAGAGATCCCAGAGAAAGGGAAATAGAAAGGATGACTAGGACAGCAGGCAGACTTTTATAACATTATCCTGGAAGTGACATGCCATCTTAGGGTATCGGTCACACGGACCTGGGAACAGACTGCACAAAGATATGAATACCAGGAGGCAGAGGTCATTGGAAGACATCATAGAGGCTGTGGAGTGTGAAATCATTAAATCTTCTAAATCGCAAAGCACAGCCAGTAACAAATTAACATAGCACCATAGGCAGGGTTATTTTTGAACAGCTGCAAAAATGTATTCAAATCATTCATACTATGTTGCAAAGATTAAAAGGGAAATAGCTATTTTAAAAAAAAAAAAAAGTAAATATCCATGAGAATGTCAACTCGGATTTTCTTCCCAGCCCAAAAATGATTGAAATGTTCTTCCTGCCCAACTGTCAACTCATGGCAATAGTTAATTTCATTCTAAAAATTCAGGACTTGACTCAGCAAACACATCAGTGCCAAGGAAGCAAATTTCCAAAATCATGTCTGTCTCTTCCCAAAGCACAGGCCAAACTTAAAGGAAAAATAGTTTAGATCACAAAATGATCTGTCATTTCTAGCCTTCATACCAGCACATTCAAATGGTGGGGTCTTCGGCATTTATGTAATGCATAAAATATAAGAAAATACTTTCTAGAGTGGCTTATTACCCAAGTCTGAATGGAAAGATAGTTTTTAGGCTGGACACAGTGGTTCACGCCTGTAATCCCAGCACTTTGGAAGGCAGAGGTGAGCAGATCATTTGAAGCCAGGAGTTCAAGACCAGCCTGGGCAACATGGCAAAATCCCCTCTCTACCAAAAATACAAAAATTAGGCAGTCTCATAACCCAGTATCAAAATGATAGATAAAAATTAAATAATGAAGAAAGATGATTTTTGCATCACCAAATATTTGCACTTATTTCTCTCTAGTTCTTCCTTTGCAATCATACGTCACTCAGACTTGGACTAAGATTAAGTCATAACTGACAGTTGTTGACCCTCTCAAGCTCTTCTCTGACTGTATCAAGCCCTTGAGTATCCTTATTTTGCACATTCTTCCTTATGGAAGAAGCTTCTGAGGGATGGTGGCAGTGGCTATCATATATTAACATAAAATACTTCAAATTATATTTTTGAACTGGAAATTAAAGAGAAACAAATACCAGGCTGAACTCAGTTGCCACTGAATGATGGAGAGCCTCCATTCCAAAGGGCAGTTTTTATTTATGGTTTCATCCTAGCTTGGTGCCTTCAAAGTTGCCCTTTGCAAGTGTTTCATCACATTTCTACTCCAAGTGCTGAGAAGCCAGGAACATCTGGTGAACTCGGCTATGTCTCTCTGTACTGGAGGTGACTTGTTGCTGCTCCTCCCTAGACAACACTTATGTGACATAAGACGATATTGTAAAAGTCATAACATATTCACAAATTAAGCTAACCATCACCAACACGTTAAATGATATAATTACTTGTACATACCTATTTTTTAAACAGAGTAGGATGAGGGGTGCTAAGATGTAGGCTATACAAAATTTATTCAAACAACCTTTCTCGGGCTGGGCACAGTGGCTCACACCTGTAATCCCAGCACTTTGGGAAGTTGAAGAGGGTGGATCCCTTGAGGACAAGAGTTGGAGACCAGCCTGGCCAACATGGTGAAACCCTGCCTCTACTAAAAATACAAAGTTAGCCAGGCGTGGTGGTGCGCTCCTATAATCCCAGCTACTCAGGAGGCTGTGAAATGGGAATCGCTTGAACCAGGGAAGCAGAGGTTGCAGTGAGCCAAGATGGGACCACTACACTCCAGCCTGGGTGACAGAATGGGACTCTGCCTCAAAAAAAAAAAAAAAAAAAAAAAAGAAAAGAAAAGAAAAAAGGCCTTTCTCATCAATGAGTTTATTGATGGTTAAAAAATGTTTTGGTCATATTCTGGAGCTAATTACCATTGTATTTTACTTTGAACCAAACTCATACATACAAGAATTAATCAAAACACACTTAGCTGAAAGCACAGGTAAACCATGAAGAAGCATTAGAGGTTGTGCAGTGTCATCATAAATTAGCAGAAGCTTTATTACCTGCCCTAATTCAAATTACACGCTTTCACACTTGCTTTGTTCAAAAGGTACAACAGGTAGAAGGCATCCTCAAATGACATCTTCATTCTCAGTGGTATCTCTTACATGTATTTTCAAGCAGAAATTGTGTGCATATTATAAGTTAACAAGAAATGGAAACTATCTCAGCAAGTAATCTTTCAAATCCCAATTCCAGGAAACCAAAATGTCAATTAAAGCACCCTCGACTTTTTAGTGATGCTCAATATCTCTTTATAAATGATGGTGATATTACAGGATTTCCTTCCATTTAATTTGTGCTTTAGGCATCTCGGCATTGGAAAGGAGACTATAGGTCATCATGGAGTCTAACCCTGTGGCCCCACCGCCATCCCCCAGTGGCATATGTGAAAGGTTGTCAATATCATCACTTTGTTGTCACTGTCACCCTCAACGTACGAGAACTCCACTTGACTTTATCCTGAAAACACACTTAGGTACAGGTAAGTATGCTTCTGTGTTCCAGAGCAGCCTATTCAAAACCAGATTACGCCACTGCTCAGCTAGACCTGCCACCCTTACAATAAAATCCAAACTCAGCCAACCGTGGCGGCTCACACCTGTAACCCCAGCACTTTGGGAGGCCAAGAAGGGTGGATCACCTGAGATCACGAGTTTATGACCAACCTGGCCAACATAGTGAAACCCTGTCTCTACTAAAAATACAAAACTGAGCCAAGCATGGTGGCACACATCTGTAGTCCCAGCTACTAAGGAGGCTCAGGCATAAGAATAGCTTGAACCTGGGAGGTGGAGGTTGCAGTGAGCCAAGATCACACCACTGCACTCCAGCCTGGGCAACAGAGAAAGACTCCATCCTCCCACTATTACAAGAAAAAAAAAAAAAAAAAAAGCCTCATCTCCATGACCTGCAAGGCCCTACAGGACTTTATCCCCTGTCTGTGCCCCATTTGAGCCATATTCATCATCTAGTTCTTCCTCAAACCTGCCACATTTTTTGCCACCTCAGTGAATTATTGGCACTGCTCCCTCTGCCCACTGTCCTCTGCCCCTAGATCACCAGGTGACCAGCTCCTACTCAAAATCCAGGTCCTGTCTCAAGTTTCCATTTCCCAGAGAAGCCTTCCCTGACCAGTACATCTAACACCTATTGCATTACCCTTGTCTCTCAAAACTAGCTGTTATTTTTGTCCACATTTATTCACTCACATGTGTATTATGTGCCATACGTGTGCACATAAGATGGTAAGCTTTATAATAATAGCAGCTGATCAAAACTAAAGCTTCCCCTATATGGAAGATTTACTATGTGCCAGGCTCAGCTCTGAGAAATTTAGTTCTCACCACAAGCCTATAAGACAAGTCAGAGTATTATCCTCATCTTACAAATGAGAAAACTAAAGCACAGAGAGGTGAAGTAATTTGTCCAAGACATACAGCCACTAAATGGCAAAGCTGGAATCCAAGTCTGGAAGCGTGTGGCTCTAGAATCCACACTGATAAGCAGGACATTCTGCCTCCTTCCCACAAGAGCAGAGACCTGCTCTGTCCTGCTCACTGCTCAATCTCCAGGAGCCTAGAATGCTTGAAAGAGAAGAGCCGGGGAGGGAGCTGACTGTCTTCTAGCCTAGGTAGACTTACCAAAATAATTCCAACCTGGGGATTCTATCCCCAACTCCTAACAGCAAACCCAGTTCCATCACTGCAAGTATCATCTGAAATCCTTCAATGGGGTGACTCAGCTCTAAATTTCTTTCTCTTTTTTGTTTGAGATGGAGTTTTGGTCTTGTTCCCCAGGCAAAAGTACAATGATGCAATCTCAGCTCACTGCAACCCCCACCTCCCAGGTTCAGGCAATTTTCCAGCCTTGCCTCCTGAGTAACTGGGATTACAGGCATGCACCACCATAGCCCAGTTAATTTTGTATTTTTAGTAGAGACAGGGTCTCACCATGTTGGCCACGCAGGTCTCGAACTCCTGACCTAAAGTGATCTGCCCTCCTTGGCCTCCCAAAGTGCTGAGACTACAGGTGTGAGCCACCACATCCCACTCAGCTCTCAATTTCTTCACTCACAGAGCAATGATTTTGAGGACCCAGAAAGCATCTCTTCATTCAGTAAGCCAAACTATCCATCTCACTCACTCATGCTTTTTTTAATTCTAGAAAAAGGAGTCAAATCAGAGAGAATAGCCAAGTTTTTTTTCTTTTTTTTTTTTTTTTTTTTCCTCTCCAGAGCTACTCACAAAGATATCAAGATCTCTGGAACAAAAAATAAGGACTGAATATTAAACCCACTCAGTTCAACTTTCTTATAACAATTTATCAAATAATGCACAACCTCAGCCTACAAGCCCTTCCTTCTACTACTCTAGCTTCTATTTGGGTCATAATATTTCTATCTTCAAATGATCACATTCCCGGGGTGGAGAAGCAGCCTGTTGCTTAATCAAAACGTCATCCAACAAAAACCATTCTCGCAGTTAAATTCCGTTTCCTTCAGGAGCAGTTGGCTGAAAGCTCGCTGGGACATGTGGTTTCAGCTATTCTTACTCTTCAGGGAAGTGCTATTTTTCTTCAAAGCAACGTAGCCCAGCAACCCCAAGGAAACCTGATTAACTTCTTTGGTAATGTGCTAGTAAAACTCACTGCTCTCTTGCTTCAGGGAATTTTAATGGCAGCACCTCTGTTTCATTCATTAGAACCATGAAGTACCCGGAGAAATGAATATTCTTTCTCGTTCTTTGTTCTTCATTTTGTTTTCAGAATGCAGGTCAGGATCAGAAACTGGGAACTATGTGACACCTCTGCAAAGAACCCGGACATCAATAAACTTGATGGCTTGGGATCGAAAGGGATTCACAACAAGGGAAAAGCTTATGTGTTAATAGGACGCGCCAATTACTCCAGCATCTGCACTGCATAGCTCAGATGGTTCTAGCACCAGGCCATAAGACCAAAAATACAGAATCAGTCTTACTAACAAACTGTGAGCTCAGCAATATTCCAGTATTAAGCGGCACCCTGGACTCCAGAGAGTCATCTTAAAAGTATGTGCTGGTGACTCAAGAGGAACTGGCCTCTAGAGTGGGTCACTACAAACTGATCGTCATTCCTGGAAAAGCTGCTAAGCACATGGCCTTCAGCACATGGCCTTGTCCCTGGGCAACTGACACATCTGGATGAGGGTGGGACAAGCAACCAGTGGTGGCATGAAGGTCCAGCTTTTAAAAAGCTGGAGCCAAAAAATAGGTGTTTTAAATTCTGGGTCATGCCACTTACTAGCTATGTGACACTGAACAAATTAATTAGCCTCTCTAAGCCATACTTTTGGAGATCAGTTGGAATATAGCACATAGGTATATGAAAAATAAAGGGATAACGGCTGAGCCTGGTGGCTCATGCCTGTAATTCCAGCACTTTGGGAGACCAAGGTGAGCAGGTCACCTGAGGTCAGGAGTTCAAGACCAGCCTGACCAACATGGTGAAACCCCAACTCTACTTCAAATATAAAAATGAGCCAGACATGGTGGTACATCACTATAAACCCAGCTACTAGAGAGGCTGAGGCAGGAAAATCACTTGAACCCAAGAGGCAGAGGTTGCAATAAGCTGAGATCATGCTACTGTACTCTAGCCTGGGCAACAGAGTGACACTCCCTCTCAAAAAAAGAAAAAAGTCATTGTGACTTAGCACAGGGTTGCTAATTAGTAGCTGAGGTGCAGACTGGTAAAATGTTGGCTGTGCATAACTAGGTGGTACACAGGTCTCCTAATGTTTGCTATTGTGGAAGAGGCCCTGGCCTGAGAGTTGGCATGCTCACTTACTAGTGCCAGCACAACCACAGATCACATATGTGCTCTAGAGCTTACACTGTCCAATGTTTATGCTACTTAAATCTAAATAATTACAATTAAATGAATTAAAATGTTAGAAATTTAATTTTCTGGCAGGGCGTGGTTGCTCATGCCTGTAATCCCAGCACTTCGTGAGGCCGAGACGGGCGGATCACTTGAGGTCAGGAGTTCAAGACTAGCCTGGCCAACATGGTGAAATCCCGTCTCTATTAAAAATACAAAAAAATTAGCTGGGCTTCAAGGGGTGTGCCTGTAATCCTAGCTACTCAAGAGGCAGAGGCGGGAGAATCACTTGAAGCCAGGAAGCAGAGGTTGCAGATCATACCACTGCACTGTAGCCTCGGTGACAGAGTGAGAGACTCCATTAAAAAAGAAACAGAGAAAGAAAAGAAAAGAAAAGAAAAAAAGAAAGAAAGAGAGAGAGGGGGAGGGAGGGAGGGAGGAAGGGAAACGAAAAGAAAAGAAATTTAATTTGCTAGTCACACTAGCCACATTTCAAGAGCTCAGTAGCCATGTGTGGCTTTTGGCTTCTATATTGGATAGCTCAGCTGTAGAACATTTTAAACATCACTGCAAGTTCTGTTGGACAGTACTGCTCTAGCAAGCAGGTGAACCTTTTGGCCCCCACTTTGGCTTTTTTGGGGAGTTGTGTAAAATATGACCATTAAGAGGCTGGTCTTTGGAGTTATGCTGACTCCAGATTCTGATTCTGGTGTCTCAAATCCTTCCTGACTGACATTGAGCAAACAACTTGGCTCCAGTTTGATCATCTGTAAACTTGGGATAATAATAGCCCCTCATAGACTTGTAAATATTATATGAGATATTGTATTAGATATATGTGGTTAATACTTCATATGTTTCATCATCTTGAATTGTAGCTCCCATAATTCCCACGTGTTGTGGGAGGGACCCAATGGGAGATAACTGAATCATGGGGCAGTTTCCCCCATACTGTTCTAGTGGTAGTAAGTCTCATGAGATCTGATGGTTTTATAAGGAGAAACCCCCTTTACTTGGTTCTCATTTTTTCCTTTTGCCTGCTGCATGTAAGACATATCTTCTACCTTCCACTGTGATTGTGAGGCCTCCCCAGCCACATGGAACTGTGAGTCCATTAAACCCCTTATTCTTTATAAATTACCCAGTCTCAGGTATGTCCTTATCAGCAGTGTGAGAACAGACTAATACAGTATTAAATGCTCAAGAGATGGCATATATGTATTTTACATAGAGTTTATCACTTGTATCAGGTCTTGTAAGTGGATGCATCTGTCTGCCTCCAGAAGCCAATCTCTTAAAACACTTTCTCCCCTTTCAGGGTTAGACTTTAATTATGTAACTTAAAACAGTGAACAAATATTTTTCCCGCAGTGTCATTTTGACCAGAGCTGGATTTACTCTAACAACAAGTGCCTGCACCTCTTGGCTGAGTTCCCTGGGCATCTGGCCCTCTCCTAGTGGCTCTGGGAAGAGGCATTGACTTAGGAAGAGGGCTTCCATGATCCCTGGAGCCTGAGACTGGCCTGGGGTTTTAATTCCCACCCTCTGCTTATCTCTTAGCCGACATATGGGCACACCACACATGCCCCTTCTTTGGTGCAAAGTCTTCATCTGCAAGGTGCAGTTTACAGAAAAAAGGCAGAGCTCTGTTCTTGACCTTTCTCCTTCTGGCCAGGGAAACGCTCTGTGCCATCCATCTTGGGCAGAAGTCCAGAGACATCTGGGCAACTTCCAAGGTGCATTTGAAAAGGGAAAAAATGCCAGAATACAGCTGTAA